CCCTAACAGCTAAGTTCCTTCTCCAGCAGGCGACCAGGTATTTTCGCCGGTCTCTCCTGCCGGAGTCCCTAGGCTAGTCCGAGAGCGGCCGATGGTACTTACCTCGTCCTCTCTCCCAGACTGCCAAATAGGCCCGTTCCGGGCGCGCGACTCTATTTTATATAGGCCGGTTGCTATCCTGCGGCCGAGCTATCAACAACGCGTCGCCAAGTTCCGCGATCGCTGCTCGCGGCTCGCGGGTCGCGCCTTGCCTCTCGCTCCGCTGAGCGGCCTACGAACTCTCGCATCGCGACAGAATTTCCGATTAGTCTGAAGTATTCGCTTTTCTCGAATGTTCTCGACGCTAAATATTATTTCCATCTATTCTATTATATTTCGCAAGGGAATTCTAAGGATTTTCTTGTCTGATTTCTCTTTGAATACAATTAATTTATTTGTCGCACTTTACAATTATTCCTGTACGCTACAATATTATATTCTTTCTTCGCCTCCATAAATGATTACGTAAGAAATTAATTCTAACACGTTTTATTCGTAAACTGTTTTATTATAAATAAAAGATTTATAGTCACGAGGACTATTTATCTTACGATATCTTCTTTTCGAGCTCCAGAAGAAAATTAAGCAGCAATTACTTAACTACTGAAATGGCTCTTTGCTAATTAACTGGAGTCATCGTTGTTGGTGACACTGCCGTCGAAAATTAGCACTCAGTGTAATTAATTATACGTCCTGTTTCTTTGAACTTTTGACACACTGTTGTAGTTCGTGGAACGAACTGACTAAGATATTAAATAAGAAATGCTCGAAATATTTGAGCAAACACAAATTCTACAGTGTGATGGTTAAATTTTATTTTCGATGACCCAAGCTTCAGATTCTAAAATTTTTAAAATTATTACATGAATCTTCCAAATTCCCTATATTCCCTAAATTACCTACATTACCAAAATTACCAAAATTCCTTACGTTCTCCAAAATCCCTAAATTACCAAAAGTACCAAAATTCTCTAAATTCCTGAAATTCTCTAAATTACAAGAATCCTCAAAATTTCCTAAATTCCCTAAATTTCTACATTCCCTAAATTCTTCAAATTCCCTAAGTTACCAAAATTACTGAAATTCCCCTAACTCTTAAAATTCAATAAATTACACAAATTCTCCAAATTCCCTATATTACCAAAATTCTTCAAATCTCTTAAATTTCCCAAATTCCCCACATTCTCTAAATTCTCCAAATTCCCTAAATTACCAAAGTTACTAAAATTCTCCTAATTTCTGAAATTCCCTAAATGACAAAAATGCTAAAAATTCCCTAGATGTCATATCATAAAAATTCTACAAGTCTCTCAAATTCCCTAAATTCTCTAAATTCTCTAAATTTCCTAAGTTCTTCAAATTCCCTAAATTACCAAAATTCTCCTAATTCTTAAAATTCCCTAAATTCTCTTAATTCCCTAAATTCTCTAAATTCTCCAAATTCCCTAAATTTCCTAAGTTCTTCAAATTCCCTAAATTACCAAAATTCTCCTAATTCTTAAAATTCCCTAAATTCTCTAAATTCCCTAAATTCTTTAAATTCCCTGAATTCTCTAAGTTCTCCAAATTCCCTAAATTCCCTAAGTTCCCTAAATTACCAAAATTCTCCTAATTCTTAAAATTCCCTAAATTCTTTAAATTCCCTAAATTACCAAAATTCTCCTAATTCTTAAAATTCCCTAAATTCCCTAAATTCTTTAAATTCTCTAAATTCTCTAACTTCTCTAAATTCTCTAAATTCCCTAAGTTCTCCAAATTCCCTAAATTCCCTAAGTCCTCCAAATTCCCTAAATTCCCTAAATTACCAAAATTCTCCTAATTCTTAAAATTCCCTAAATTATCAAAATTACCAAAATTCTCCTAATTCCTCAAATTCTCAAAATTCCCCAAAATTCCTATATTACAAAAATTCTTCAAATCTCTAAAATTCCCCAAATTCCCTAAATTCCCTAAATTACAAAATTTCACCAAATCCCTCAACTTTCGCAAATCTAAAATTCACAAATTCCCCAGATTCTCTAAATCGACCAAAGTTATCGGTCTATTTTTTTTCCCAAATAATAAAATTTTCCTCCAAAGAATTTTTCTTGTATTTACAAATTACGAAACAATTAATATCGACATTGTTACATGACACAAGAATGCATCGTACAATTGTAAACACATTATCGACAGAAATTGCCACTAGTAGAAACTCCCTTTTTTCTCAGCAATCGAAAGATTGTGCAATCGAAACAACGTACACAACGTGACGATACTAAATTTCAGGCTCTTAGATTCTCGTTCGTTTGCACTCAAAGGGTCCATTAGCGGGGTTGCGTTAATTAATATTTAACTTCCTGACTGAAGCAAAGGGTATTTATTATGCTTTGTATCGGGTGTCTGTAAACTATACCCGGGACGTGGTTATGATAGCTTACTTTAGATAATTTCCGATTTTTCCATAGACAGCCGACTAAACCAGCGCTGCCTCGCTCGATTTTCAATCGATAGTTTCAATAAACAGCAGATTGCTTAACCAAATTCGAGATAACCGTATTAATTCGAGCTCCGAATGAATTTCAAATTGTGCTATCAGGTTTAATTACGTATTTTCATTTCATTCTCATTTTTTCTCAAAACGATAGTCCGCTACGTTCTGAACAAGAATTCCATTATGCAAATATTGTTATTTAGGAATTTTGTGTTATTTTAATTTTTGCAATTGTCAGATTCTATTCAAACACGCTAATTATAAAGAAAATGTCAATTTATAAACATTGTACTTTGTGCAATATTAATTTCTTGCAGATTCTGACTTTTCATATTCAAATTTCGCGCGCTTCTATTCCCGCCATTTTTGTGTACTATTCAAATCTTCGGTTATGACTGAATCTTTTGACTTTGTTTATGTACTTATGTTTTAAATAATTTGTGATATTTCAGTATCAATTTAATATTATCATACTCGTATAGAAACGAGAGATAAAAGTTAAAAGGAAGAAACGGACAAAGTAGTCAGGTTATTTAAGTTATTACCGTAATATCGTTTCTTTTCAGTTGAAAACGATTTTCATATTACTCCATTCCCGGGATCGTTAATGCCGAGAGATTAATAGCCGTCGTTGGGGTTGCATGAAAATCCTTGTTTACCTAATTAATTAAATTTCGCTTTTGATGTGCGGACCCCGTGATGAAAGGAGAGTTAACGTTGACGACTCGTCGCAAAGGATGCACGGTTCGCTGAATATAATTCGCCCAGAACGGGAAATGTACTACCAATTTTCCGACATCATTCGAGTGTTTGCCCGCCGGCTTGGTCATAGACATCTAAAACTGTGTCCACGTTGAAACGTTTATTCTCTCTCCCTCTGTGCCCTAAATTCTCGACTGTTGGATTACACGCTTCTAGTTTCTGAATATCAGCAAACAGTCGCTGAAACAGCATGCACAGATTTCGAGTTGTTAACTTCCTGTTCGCAAGATCATTCTTAACAATTTCATTTTTCTACCAATTCTTACAACTTACTCAAAGTCCTATCATCTACCAGCTGCACCAGTTAATTCTTTGTTTCAAAACCACCGTCACTGTTCAGAGTTGGAGTCATATTTTCTGTGGCATGTGTAGCCCCAAACTAGCTAATGAGGGTTCTAATTGTACTGGTTTGGTTGTTTTTCTTTAAATACCGATGGCGTTTCAAGAACCATAGACTCATATGCCGCCTTCGCCTGTCCTGGTCAACATCTCCTCAATCAGCCACTTTACGCCACTTCTGACAATTTTCCTGGGGGTTTTGGCCCATTCTAAGCAAGTTTGCTCCTCTGACAAAAAGTCGTATCTCGCACGGTTTGGCCGGAACCGACATAGGCAGGTATGACGCCGGTGGATCCCGTCCTCATCAACATCTCCTCAGCCAGCCGCTTTACGCCACTTCTGACAATCTTCATGGGGGTTTTGGCCCATTCCAAGCAAGTTTGCTCCTCTGACAAAAAGTCGTATCTCGCACGGTTTGATCGGAACCGACATAGGCAGGTATGATCCCGCCCTCATCAACATCTCCTCAGTCAGTACATCTCCTCAATCAGCCACTTTACGCCACTTCTGACAATTTTCCTGGGGGTTTTGGCCCATTCTAAGCAAGTTTGCTCCTCTGACAAAAAGTCGTATCTCGCACGGTTTGGCCGGAACCGACATAGGCCGGTATGACGCCAGCGGATCCCGTCCTCATCAACATCTCCTCAGTCAGCCGCTTTACGCCGCTTCTGACAATTTTCCTGGGGGTTTTGGCCCATTCTAAGCAAGTTTGCTCCTCTGACAAAAAGTCGTATCTCGCACGGTTTGGCCGGAACCGGCATAGGCAGGTATGACGCACACGGTGCGTCCGCATGTTTCATAGACGAATAAAGCCGTAGCGCAAAAATGACACATCAGAAGGTAAGATTACGCGAATATAACGAGTAATCTGCATTGTAGACATAATCTAAACCCATGTTCTTGTAATATCTTTCAAAGCGCCGAGTTAGCGTAATATTTTTTGTGGTACGAAGCGAAGATCGACAAAAGGAATGCGTCGGCAACGGAAACAGCAATGACCCGTTGAAAATCGCCGGGACATTCGTACGGCAATCAGAAGGAAGCATTCAAGTTGTGGGCTTTCATCGTTGCCTTACAAGTTCCTCCACTTTCCACCTTTTCCGTCTGCCTGTCTCCGCTTCACTCTCTACACCTCGTTCAGGCTAGCTTTTACCGTTGGACACCCAACCCGCCATTTTCTACGCCGACCCTCTTTCAGCCTTTCCGAACTGTATATAAAGTGGTGCTACTAAATTGGAAACCGCAGCTTTGTCGATGCTATTGCTACCACCTTTACCCTGTTCGTTTCTTTCCTCCCTATTGAACTGTCCTCCCCACTTGAGCAACCCCTGGTCAGGATGGATCGTTGTTAGAGTTGACATTGGGGTCGGATTTATTGGCCGGGTTCGTTCTTCTAACTTTTCACGGCGGACGTAGTTTACCGCCGGAAAATTCGTTCTGAAGCTTTGATAACACTTATTCCTGTGTTCGGAGGGCTCCTGATTCTGCCTTATCGGGATACCACGGTGCTTTGTTAGGGATGATTAAACGCTTTTCTTTTCTTGCTCGCATTTGACGAATTTGGGGAGCTTCTGTTTGAGGACTCGAAGATTTGGAACTTGAGGATGCTGCTCTTAGGGTTTGAGGAATTTTAATGAACTTGGGGGGATACTGGTGTTCGTGAAATTTTGGTAAATTCAAAATATACGGAATTTGATTCTAGAAGTTTGTAAAAAATTAACAATAAAATTATACAATGCAGCTTAATAACTAGAGTCCATAAAATGTCCAACGAAACGTCCACTCACACGCAATAAATATAAATATGGACAGCGAAACTGATGTCATGTGAACGAGATTATTCAAAATGTCTGCCGGATAAAACAGGGCAGAGATCAATAACAATAACAGAGATTGGCGAAAACGATATGTCAATGTGCCAATTTCGCTTCGTCCGCCGTGAAATGTCGTCCTCTTTGGCTGGCAAGCAAGGAGGTTGGTTCGAGATGAAATAAAAAGGAATTCCGTTCGTAACGAACCGTTAAACGACTTTCTTCGGTCGATAAGTGACTCCTCTGATCGACTCCTTTTCCGTCTCATCGCTGCCATTATCTTCGATCTGGCACGGAATTCCTCTGCGCATCATCCCCTCTTTTCCATTACCATCATTATTTCCATATTATCTATGGTATCATCTAATTATTCGATTATTTTTTCACGAATTTTTCCAACGTAAAAATTATTTATTATACGCCCCAATGGGTCCGTACGAATTATCAGTTATTTTTGAAGGGGTAGTTCAGGTTCATTCTTTAATTCTTTAACCAACGCTTCTAGTATAAGGACGCAATAAAAATTTGCTCAACAATAAATTTTACTTTGTTATTAAAAATAGATTGATAAGAAGTTTAGATGGGTTCGTTAAACTTGTTAATATAATTGTATTGATGACAAATTTTAACTTTTGAATAACTTTATTAAATGATGCAAAACCTTGATTATACAAAACCTTGATGATGTAAATCTTGATGACATAAAACCTTGATGATGTAAAACCTTGATTGAATGATGTAAAAATGGTTCACGTAAAACCTTGTATGTAGATTCTATCATACTCTTGTATTATACGTTCTACAGTAGACAACCCAGGAGTTGGCGCGTGAGACCCAAAAGGTACCCACCTTCCACTTACATTTCGGCGAATGAGAATAATGACAATAACTGCAGCAATTCGCACTATCGAGACGTTTGCCTGTCACTTTCGCCTAATTGGCTCGAGCCAACACTACCGCCACAAATACGTGTGAGTCTAGGCGACATTTCTCTTCTGACCAATTGGGGTCCTTCCAACCCTGGGTCAGCCTCCCACGCGCCAATTCCTGGCTTGACTACGGTATGTACTGTAGACAACCCTGTTCCTGGCGCGTAGGCTGAGCCAGGTTCAAGGGACCCCACCTTGAACAGTCCAATATGACGTTCTGACGTTCGACCACTCGAAACGTTTGCCGACTTGTTCTTTGACTCA